GTTGCAAAATTAACTTTCATTTTAACGTCAGAATGTTTAGCTGCATTCCACTGGCTCAGAACGTTTTTGTATTGATCATCTTTCTTTGTTAAGTCGATAAGGGGGTTTGTGAAAACCGAATCTCCGAGAGTTTATCGACTCATCGCAGAAATAAAAGCCAATTTCCTACGCGTAATAATGTGGTAAAGATTCACATTGCGTAAAAGAGTCCTGGCCGAGTAAGAGGCTAGCTTATTCAACCTAAGCCGAAGTCGTTGATAAGGGGTATCCTGGAGCCTACCTGAACCACTTTGCGCGACTTTTGAGTTCTAGACGCGTGTTATGTCCCCTTTTTGAAGATATGGAGTAGTCAATAAAAGCGAACATGCCAGTCCCAGGAAGTAATTTAGAAGAAAAAGACTTGATCGCTTGGAAAATGCTTTTATTGTCCCAGCGATAAAATTGTCTTCTGCTCAATATGTAGCAGTGCTGATTTTCAAGTTTGATGACTAGGACCTTGTTGTTAGTGAGATTTAAACGCTTTGATAGAATTCGCGAAAATTCCCATTGAAAATACGTTTGTTTTGATAAATCCTCGTCAGACCTGTACATTTATATTTATTCATCTGCTCCTGTAGGGCAGCGTATAATTCGTCGCAGGAGCCGGTGTTTGTCCAAAACAGTAGGGGAAGGCATTCCCGCATTGTTCGGGAAGGAACAAACAAAGGGTATAAACAGCTCCATTCTAGCGCACTTGGTAGACGCAGGCCATCACGTGGATGTCAGAGAGGCCTTCCGAGTGATCTACAAGGTGTTCCCGAGCTGTTCAAAATTCCTTGGACAGCGTCTGTTGCCTAAGGCAGAAGCGGCCGTCATACGGCAACGCCGACCAGTCCTGTGCGCACAAAAAAATTTCTTAACGGCCCTGCAGTTGCCATGGCAGGTCACTAATCCAACAGCCCGCAGCGTATTACTTCTCTCGGCGACCAGTCCCCCCGAACGCCCATCAGACATCTCGACTTCGATTATCCCCCTTCCTCACCTG